GTTCCACCATCTGTACGAAAAACTTTGATAGATTTGGATGTATATTTCTCAACTTGAGCCTTAAAATTGCAGAAAATATTAAAAACTTCAGATTTGTTTTTCATAGGAAAAATCCACGTGAAACGCGAGAAATCGTCAATAAAGAGAACGTAATAACGAAAACCTTGCACCGAAGTGACCGGAGCCGGTCCCCAAATGTCCGAGTGAATTAAAAACAGTAAAGACTGAGAACGGTGAGCAGTTTTAGGAAAAACAAGTTTATGACTCTTTGACATTTGGCAAGAATTACAAACAGACATTTCTAAAGGAATTTTAAGATGCGGATTATTTGCAGAAATTAAATGAAGAGTCTTGGGATGCGGATGTCCCAATCTTGAATGCCAGGGAGATGTTTGTGCAGCCGAAAGAGCTCTGTTCTGTGCCGAAGGTTGACTAGTTTGAATTGGGTAAAGACCGTTGGTGCACGGACCTTGTAGAAGCACTTTCTTCGTCGTAAGATCCTTAAAAACAAAGCCAGATGGATTAAACAACACAGATATATTGTTATCTTTGGTTAATTTAGAAATAGATAACAAATTATAGCGTAATTGCGGAGTATGAAGAACTTGAGATAGGAGTAGCTTACGATTCGAGGTTGGTAATATACCAGCCCCGGTATGCGCGATGTTTACCGATCGACCGTCGCCGACGATGATGCCATCATTTCCTTGGTAGGATTTGGAAAAAGACATGTTATCAAGTGAATTTGTAAGGTGCGACGTTGCCCCTGAATCCAAGAACCAGTTGGCTTGCGGGTTGTCCGCGGTAGCAGCTAGAGCTTTGGTTGTGGTATTCGTAGATGAAGGAACGTATTGAGGGTTGAGTCGATGCTAACATGATGATGCTGAATGCCCTCTTTTGAGGCAAATTTGACAGCAGACAGGTGGTGTTGTGGTGGACCTTTGCTGGGATTGTTCGGTCGCGGCATTTCGTCCGCGATTGCGACGAAAACGTCCACGAGGGGCATACAGAGCCACAGAGGGATCAGGAAGGACCGAATGTCTGGTAGCATCGGAGCTATGGTTAATTTCTTCGCTTAGAAGAAGAGGATATAGTTGGTCGAGGCTAATAGGATTGAGCATTGTTCGAATGGCAGTTTTAAATGATTGATATGATCCCGGTAAGCCATTCAAGATGTAGTGAATTATATCCTCTGTATCAACCGAAGAACCTGCAGCGGCGATATGATCAACTATGGTTTTGATGTCAGATAGATACCGAGTCATTGTGAGATTTTTGAGGGAAATATTATGAAGAGAGCTCTTGAGTTGGATGACTTTGGATCTGTTAGACGATTGGAACTGTGTTTCAAGAACGGTCCAAATAGCAGCCGTTGATTCAAGATTAACAACGTAAGGTAAGATTGAAACGGAAATGGTGGAACACAAAGAGGCTGCAAGTATTTGATCGGAAAGAGTCCATTTATCAAATAAAGAATTTGGAACAGTTGTTCCGTCATTCTGTAGAATGTTGCGATTAGGAGGAACGGTTGAGGGATCAAGAAAAGTATGAAAACCTTGAGCTCGGAACAGCTTCAAGATCTGAGATCTCCAAACGGCATAGTTGTCCGTTGCAAGTTGAATCGGAGCTATGTTCTTGATATTTGATACCAAGAACTTGAGAGAAGAAGAAATCTGGATCTCCTCTTGTTGCTCTGTGATCGTTTGCGTGCTGCTTTGCGAATTTGCCGAGCTCGCCATGGTCGTCCCGCTCTGATACCATAAAGAAATGTAACAGGCGTGGAAGACGAAGACAGGAAGAAAGAACAGAGAGGAAAGAAATATTTTATTCACCTTTTCACGGGTTACAAACTAGACCCCTATATATAGATAGTTTAGGCCTGTATTTACAAGACAACCAATGAGACTATGACAGCTCATTTAGTATTTAATTAATTACAAGTATATTGGCTGCTCTTATAGAGTTCAAATCAAATACATGAATTATATTTAAAAACTTCATAAACTAAATTGATAGGGTAAATGATTTCTAATTATAGCATGCTTATAACCAAATTGAGCGGCTCGATGATACGATTCTAAAAGCTCAAGAGCACTAGATTCTGATATCATTAAGGCATTCAAATGTTTAATAAACAATCTATGATCAAGAAAATCATTATAGACCGTATGATAGAGTGCTTTAGATTTTGACTTAATTTACCACAACGCTAATCTCAAAAAGCTTATAAATAAAACATCATTTTCAATAGAGGGGAAGAGGCTCAAGAGCTTGGAGAACTAAAGAGAACTCGCTTGTATTTTTCGTTTGTCACCATTGATCGATAACCACCTCCAATAGTCATTGACATTATCTCCAGACTCCTATCAAGACCTAACCTTATTATTAGATTTATAATTTTTCACTTATGGACATCTATATTTTGTAATCCCTAAAATGATAATAAATCAATTATTGCAATTGTAAATAATCCAATCTTCTTCAATTGTGAGTCAGAGAGAATTCTTATACCCCCCCATAATATTATATAATGCACTGATATATAATAGAGTCAGACTAGGTGGTTTTTCTCCTTTTCAAGTTTCCCACGTAACAAACTTATAGTCCTCTATAAATTTTTTTATTTGTAATAGATTTTTAGATTTTTATACAATGCTAAGACATTGAATACTAACTCTATCGATACAATGCTAAGTCATATGAATTATTCCCAACAATATATATATATATATATAATCAATCCCTGAATCAAGGACATTAAAATACAAGTGGTAAAGGTCCCCCAAACCACACTATAGAGGATCATGTACATCATTTGGTAGAATTTCAAGTAAAATTCTACTACTCTTAGAAGACATTAGATAACAAAGAGCATTGCCACAGTTTGATAGAGTTCTCTTATCACAACATTAATAATAATTTTGAGATAATGTCAATCATGTGGTACCTCCTTCACCACAACCTCATTAAGATATCCTAGACCGTGCCAATTCAATAATATATCTTTCTCGAGTTATTTGACTAGCCTATTTCCTCTATTAATAATCATGGAGAATTAAAATTAATATCATCTTAATGATATCCCTCATGATATGATAAGAGATGTGCTATGATGCTTTATTCACGAGGAATTTCTTTTGAGGGAAAGGAATCAACTTATCATGATAATTTTTAAGAATATTCACCCCTAGTCAATTTAATTCACTATAATTTTATTCCTATGAGATTTAATGAGATGTCCCAAGACCTAAATTGAAAGATTTGTCTATTTTATCTTAATAATCTATCCGAGTTTCTATAAAGTCATCAAGATAAATCAATGCATCCAATGGAAGCAAATAAGCATCACATACATCAAACTCTTCACTATATTATTTCATCAAAATCTCATTTATAATAGTAAGGAGATTATAACAATTAATAAACTATCAAAAGCTTCTAACTACAAAATACTAAATGAGAATGCAAAAATATCAACAAAAAAAATATGAAGATCTCAATTAGCTTCACTCCATTGACTCTTGGCCCCTTCACTGTCATGAAATTAATAAAATTCACATAATGTAATAACCTTTAAGTTTTAAAAGATATGTTTTGACCTATAACACTAAAAAATTATCATGAGTCATTAAAAATCTAACTTACAAACCGTCTTCGCTATAACATTTCTTTTGTTGTGTCTAATTATAATAATTTTCATAATTTTATGGTATTGTTGCAATTCTATAAGTAATTTACACATGTCGATGCAGTGTGAATCCTCATTAAATTTGAGATCAACTAGAAGAAATTGTTCTTACCAAGTTGTGCTTGCTAGCAAGTGTTAGTTGACCGCCATCGCTTGATTATAACCTCTTGATCACGATCGTTGGACTATGATCCTCCAACAAACGTTGCTCAAATATGATCCCCATATCATTGTAGTCCGACTACGGCCCTCCAACCAACTTCACTAGCTTGACTAAGGTCCTCTATTATTCAATCATTTGACTATTGTCACTTGGCTACATTAACGTCAACTAACTTCATAGCAAATCATCACTAATAATGCTGAGGTATGCTATCATTTTATTAGATTGATGAATGTTAAAAAAAAAAAATAAAAATAAAATATTTTATTAAAAAAAAATATTGATGAATGTCATAAATACCAACTCTGACTTGTAATGTCAGTATGTGGAACTTTTATTTGGTCCGATCACCTGACGTAGCTCTACGTTCGGACGCCAGTAAAATAGTGCCACATGTTCTCACTATTTAATGCGCGGCCCAACAACCCCGACCTGGAACAGAGACGGGATTGCTATGTTCGCGTGTTGCTAGGTATTGCTCGGTATTGGTCGATTTTGCTCGGCAATAACGAGAAATATCATTATGTGAAGATCAATACCGAGTTTTTCTCAGTATTGCTCGGTATTGGTCTTCACAGAGCGATATTTTTCATTATTGTCAAGCAATATTTAGCAATACCGAGCAATACCTAGAGCAATACCGAGCAATACGCGAATATAGCAATCCCGGGTCAAGTCGTCGGGCCGCGCAGTATTGAGTAAGACCACGTGGCGACATGTTATTGGCGTTCGAACGTAGAGCTACGTCAGGTCACCTGACCTAATAATTGTTCCAGTATGTGGGTTTATGTTGGACTTTTTGGTCTCTAGTCTTATCTCCTCAAGGGATACACCAAACAAATAGGCAAATGATCTCTTAAGAATAGCTCCTATGGCGAAGGGCTATGCCAACTTCGACTGTGAAATCTATTATATACATTGTATGTTTATTACATTGATTTATTTATGTCGAAAACAACCATTTTAACAGAATCTAAATAGTTTTTATGCCAATTTAAAAATTTTATGTGAACCCAAATCGGATTAAAATCTTAGACAAATCAGATCTTTTAATCATATCAACAAAGACCCAAAATTTAGTCCAACCCTTATCCGGTTTGGTTACCGGGTTATTTATTGCTCTGGCTAGAATCGTATACAAAGCCTTCCATGACCACAATCTCGACCGTTAGGCCCATCACCCACATTCCATCGGCTAGAATCCCCAACCACAATTCAAATCCCAGCTTTCCCCAAAAGCACCTATGCCTCTCCCTCTTAAGTGCCATCTCCTCCATGCGCCAGCTCGTACAAATCCACTCTTACCTCATCACTTCCGGCCTTTTCTTCAAAGATAAATTTCTAGTCAGTGAAACCCTCCGTTTCTGTTCCCTTCACCCCTCCGGCGACCTCTCCCACGCCCGAACCCTTCTTCTCCATAGCCCGAGCCCGATGTCCTCATCATGGAACCATGTCATTCGAGGACTATGCCTTAATTCATCCTCAGCTGATGCTGTCGCTGTTTTTCTCGAGATGCGCCGGCGAGGGGCAAGGCCAAATGAGTTAACCTATCCGTTTGTAATCAAGTCATGTGCTAAATTACTAGACCTTTGTGTTGGGAGGCAAGTTCATGCCGATTCCATCAAGAATGCTGCGGGATCTGTTGTTTATGTTGGAAACACATTGATGCATTTATATGGATTTTGTGGGGAGGTCCATGATGCACGAAGGATGTTTGATGGAATGTCTCACAGAACAATGATTTCGTGGAACACGATTTTAAATATCTATGTTGATAGTTTGATGATTGAAGAAGCAATGAAATTGTTTTGCAAGATAATGGATAGTGGATTAGGATCGGATCAGACAACCTACATTATTTTGCTTTCTGCTTCTTCTTTGATGGGAAGCTTGGGGCTAGGGAGATGGGTTCATAGCCAGATCATTTGCAGAGAGATTGAAGTTAGCCTGAAGTTAGGCACAGCGCTGGTGCACATGTATGCGAAATGTGGAGCTCTGGATTTTGCTTCTATGAAATTTGAAAGAATGCCAGTAAAGAATGTATGGACTTGGAGTGCAATGATCCTTGGTTTTGCTCAACATGGTCGTGCACATGAAGCACTCAATCTATTTAAGCATATGAAGAATTCTTTGATAAAGCCTAATTATGTAACATTTCTGGGAGTACTCTGTGCTTGCAGTCATGTTGGCTTGGTCCATGATGGCTACCGATTCTTCCATGAAATGGTTCATGTTCACAGCATCAAACCTCAGATGTCTCATTACAGTGCCATGGTTGATGTCCTCGGCCGGAAAGGTCTTCTTCTTGAAGCTTACAATTTCATCAAAAGCATGCCTATGGATCCTGATGCTGTCGTTTGGAGAACTCTTCTCAATGCTTGCCAGTTACACATTACTAGAGATGGGCATGGTATTGGAGAGGCTGCAAAGAAGATTTTGCTTGCGCTTGAACCAAACAGATGTGGAAACTATGTTATTGTTGCCAACATGTATTCTGAACTTGGATCGTGGGAGGAGGCTGCGAAGGTTCGAAAGATAATGAGAGAAGAAGGCCTGAAGAAGATGGCGGGAGAGAGCTGCATTGAGATTAGTGGGTCAAATTATAGGTTTCTATCTGGGTATGATTCTTCGGTTGAAAGTGAGGGACTCTACCAATTGATACATGGGATGCATTTGAACATGAAAAAGTTTGGTATTGCAGATTCCAATACTCGTATACAACTTCAAAAACTTGTATTTGAATATTGAAATCAAACTGTTAATCTCTAATGAGGATGTTCCAGCTTTCTATCATTGAGTGCATTCCAGTGGACCGGGCATGATAAATATGATCTCTAGTCAACACCCATTGGAGCATCATGTCATGCTTCACTTCTTTTATTGCAATAATTGAATGAACCCATGGAGTGCAAATATTCTAATCTTCGAGTTCCATGAGATGAAATTCCTTGTGCCTTTATGCTTGCAACAATTGCTGTTGCTCCACAGATTCCAGCGTCTTGAGTTTATCTGCAATCAGTGAATGGTTAACGGATTGTCAAGAGCAAGGTTTCCTTGATGAGTTGAATGATTGTAGTTATATACCAGAGAGTTGAATACCGGTACCGAGCAATGAAGGGTTTGGTTTTCTAGCCAAACCTCTCTCCAACCACAAACATTATGGATGAAAGCTTATATGCCATTTTGAAGGCTACATTATAGATGTACCTGGTAATCTTTCTGATCATCTATATATACAACTTATCATAGACCAAGTCTCATTCAACGACACATTTGCATTTTCTATCATTTCTATTTATTGTTTTAGGTGAAGAAAACCTCTAGTTTTGACCACTTCATTAATATGAATTAAGATGAACTTACCATTATTGTTCTCCACCAATGCAATACAAAATCATGTAAACATTAGTATTCTCCTTTTTAATATACAACTGCTGTACAATTATTACCTCCATTTGATTTTCAGAATATTATAACTGTATCCAATTGAAAAAATATGGAAGTTGTGATTAGTGTTGTTGGGATCGCATGATTCTCTATTTATCAAGTATATTTTTTGGTGCAACGCACGCATCTTAGAGCACTCAAAACAGTTAGATTGACACTAATTTTTTTAATTCAAAAAACATTTAAGTGATCATATGAGCTTTAACAGTGCAAATTTTCTAACAAAATAACTTTTTAGTTGATAGGATTCCAATGACTACATGATGCCGAATTTGAGAATGAAAATGGTTCAAATCGGCTAAACCACACCAAACTCATTTTTTTTCAAGTGGAAGGGCAGGATATGTGCACGCTAGGCTTTACTACTCTCTAGGAAGGCCATCTGATGCCATCTGATAGTCCCATCCTAGAAAGTTCGTTACAAGTTTCAAAATGATGGTGTACGATAATGCTAAGATTTATTCATTTGAGTACAATTCATCCGATAAAATTTCAACATCTCAGAGCTTTTATGACCTCTATAAATATCTTGTTCTTAAGTCATCTGGGGGCCCATTCACTCTCAATCTTTCCTCTCCTTATGAAAAGCTTTTTGAGGTCTCTCCCATTTACTAAAAACTTAATATCTTCGGATAACGATAGTAATCCTGGGCTTCATTCATATTTTTCTCTTAAACTTATTCTCTTTGCAAGCCTTTCTTCATTGTGGGAGACTCATATCCCTCCACTTTCAAAATCTGTCTCTCGTCATGTCAAGTTAGTTTTCACTTTTTTCTCATCATCATCATCGCTTGCCTTGTTCTCAACCCACCACTATCTCCAAATGGATTCAACATTTTTTAGCTAATAATACCTTCCTACGAGAACGTCTCTATCAAGATGTTTATCTCACCAACCACCATGTTTTGTGGTTATGATTGTCCCTCTTGTGTTTGTAAAGTTCATAAAGTTTTATATGGACTTGAACGAGCCTTGTGTTCTTGGTACCATGAACTTCATCAGTTTATGGTTCTTGCTAGATTGAAGGACCCTCATGCTGACCTCTGATCATTCAACTCTAGTGGCTTGCTAATATATCTATCTTTTTTATTTGTTGACAGCATTGCCATCTTAAGAAGTGATAATGACACCTTTGTTGGAAGATTTGTGATTCTTATGACTAAATATTTCTCTTTCAAATATGTTGGTCATCTCCATTACTTGCTTGATGTAGAGGTTATCTCACACGCCCCTGCTATTCTCCCATCTCAGCGACAACACAGGATGTTGGTCGCTCTAAAATCAATAGACATGTTAACAAGATTCTAAAATTCATTAAAGAAATTAACTACTAAAACAAGATTCGAAAATTCATACCAGGCATTGACTCGAAAGAAAATTTTCAAGGCTTTGAGATGCACTTATTCAATTAGAAATCAACCAAAAAGTTAACAACATATTTAACTTTTACTGCCACCTAACTTACATCAAATCGTGATTTTAAGCAGTTATTAATCTTTTCGATCTTGCTCAGCAACTATATATACACATATGTATGTGAAAGCAAAGTTGAAGTTGGGCCCCACCTAAAAATTTTTTGGCTTCGCCACTAGTTATAATGCTACTTTATGAAGTTTTAAGAAGCAACACATTATTGCTAGATCATCAACAAAGGCAGAGTATAGAAATCTATCTCTACTGTCATCATTGAACTCAACTATATATTGCTCTATTTTGATCAAATTTAGAATTTTGACAACACAATGAGCACTCTGGATTCATACACTCGTGATTTAACCCAGCGTTTCACTTTTGCTTGAAACATGTTTCCATTGTTTTCCACTTCATCAAATGACCAAGCTCAAAATGGTAGCACTTTGAGTTGCTCATGTTTTATCAAGGATCAACTAATGGTGTTCTTACAAAATCTCTTTCATAAACTCGATTTCTAGGAAGAAGAGTGGATAAGCTCATCGAATTTCCATCTTAAGGGCCATAATAGAGAATCCAAGAAATTTGACAATTGTGTTATCTTCTATTTTATAAATCATGAGCTGTTCATTAAATATAAATTGTTGGCTTTTTATGTGTTGTTGATAGTTAATGATGAGTTGATGTTTCTTTCCTGTTCACGGTTTATAATTCTCTTCATATTTCTATATAAATAGAAAAGAAATCTCAATGAAATATTACAATTTATTTTATCCTTTCTATCTCTTTAGCATAAAGCAGTTTTTAGATTTGATGAAGAAGAAATACATAGGAAAAAAAAATGCAATGTAAAAAGAATATAGTGTAGATGTGTAGTATTTGAAAAGTTTAAGTTATTTTGAATTAATAATGTAAAAGGAATGCAGAAGATTTTTTTTTTGAAGTAAAATAAATAAAATGTAAATTAGAATGATGGTGGTGGCAGTCGATGGCGGTTTGTGATGGTGATAGTCAGTAGTGGGTGGTGGTCTATGGCCATGGTGGCGGACGACGATCACACAATCAGCTTGCAGTGTTGGGCTTCATGCAAATTTAAGACAAAATCGTTTTTTCATAATAAATTTTTTACAATATAAATTATTAATATTTTGCACTTATCTTAAAATAAATTTAAAATTTAAAATTTAAAAAATCAATTCTAATCATTTTTTTATCAGAATATTCTTAGATAGAAATTCTTCTTTAGAATTCATTAATGAAAATACTATTTGTCAATGCTTTGCGATAAGCGGGTGGATAGGATAGGAATTATTCTTATAAAATCATTAAAATTATAATATTTGTTTCGTCTTGTCTGTTGACATATATATCAGAAAAAGTTATTTATTGCATTATAATTTCTTAAAAATAAAAAAAGTTATGGAGTTAAGAGAAAAGTAAGATTCATGATATTGGCATAATTATATGGAATGAAGTACTTTGTTATTTTTTCGAGTTTTTTTTTTCTCTTGTTATTTTATTTTATAGTTAATGAAAATGAGCTCTTTCCCTAATTTTACAAAAAAAAATGATAATTTATTTATTTAACTTTAAGAATGATGACATCATTTAATTTTTATATATCTTGTTTCCAAACGGAAAAGACAAAAAAACGCTTAAACAAACAAAGTCTGAATTGATAATAAAGGCTAAGCAACATCCTTAAAAAACTAAGGGGATGTTTGGTAGCAAGATTTAGGCTGGATTTTCGACGGATTTGAGTGAAATCCAGCCAAAATGTCAAAAATGCAAAATCAAATCTAAAATGAAAGCAGTCGTAGACAGAAAATCACCCTTTTTGAGATAAATCTTAGATTTCTGAAATCCTGTGATTTGATGGATTTAATGCTCTGATGATGCAAGAGGAAGGAAGAGTATGTTCTTTTAATATTTAAAGCTACAACCAAACAATTACATAAAATTTAATAGAATTTTTCATGAATATTACCAAATAATTTTCAGGATTTAATCCCTCCAAAGTGTTACCAATCCAAATTTAGAGGATGTATAAAATCCTAGCGGGCGGGACCCAGAACCACGGTCATGCTCTAGCTGTCCAACATGATAATGTTATATTTTTAACAGAACTACTGAAATTCGACAATCAGGGGTCCGATCCCGTCACTGCAATTTCGCACCAACTACAGGAAGCCGAAGCACCTCTGATCTTAACTCTATCGGCGGCGCATGGTCGGATGAGGCGGAGTGCGGTGAAATCGTTGAACCAAACCCTAGGTAATCAACATATTTTTCCTGCCACGTTTTCATGCGCCGGCCAAATGCGCGGCTCCAGGCATCTCGCCGAAACCCTCCTACCGAAATGCTCTCGCAGGGAAGTCCTCCACCTTGCCCTAACAGATACGAGTGCACTTTCTGCCGCAGCAACCTAGCTACCGCTGCCACCTTCTTTGCGGCAGCGTCGGGTCTTTGTCTTTTCTATTTCCTGTCCTCCTTATCTTCTTCGCATAGATTCGGTGTCATTATTGATGGCGGAAGCACTGGTACGCGTATTCACTTGTTTGGGTACAGAATCGGTTGGGGAGGGTTGCCAGCGATCGATCTTGGTCTGACCGCTTCGATGAAGGTGGTTCCGGGGCTTTCCGCTTTTGTTGACAATCCAGAGACGGCCGCGGAATCGTTGAAGGAGTTGTTGGATTTCGTAAAGGATAGAGTGCCAAAGGATCGGTGGGGGGTGACGGAAGTCAGGTTGATGGCCACCGGAGGCTTGCGGTTGCTTGATGGTGGTCTGGCTGAGGGGATCTTAAATTCTTGCAGGAGCGCTCTCAGGTCATCGGGATTCAAGTTTCAAGACGATTGGGCAACCGTGATCTCAGGCAGGTGATTTTTCCTCCCTCCCTCTCTCGTTCTCTCTCCCTCCCTCCCTCCCTCCGATTCTTATGCTTGTTAATTGCACTCTTGCATTTGTTGATAAGACTTAAAAAAATTAGTAAGAAAAAAAAATACAAATTAATCATTACTTTGATTTCCAAAAAATTTAAATTTTAAATAATTTGTTTATTTCTTTCTTTACTTCCAAAATGAAACCTGAAGTTCAAAATATCAATATACTTGTCCAAACATGTTTCCAGCAAGAGAAATGTATATATACTTATAGTATTTTGAATAAAATATTTTTAGTATATCAATGATATTTAATGTTTAATAACGATCCTAAAAGATAATAAAACTCTATGGATCAGAGAAATGTAATCTGAGATATATGCATTAATATTCAAAAAAATTGATAAAACACTTTTATAAATAAAATTTGATATTTTTATGCACAACTATACTTAATCATCTTGACTAGTGATTAAAAAATATTTAATAAAATTGATAGGTTTTACTCGAATCAGCTGGAAATTCATCTCAAATCTACTGTTTTTATTTTATTCGAACTTTAGCTATAGTTGAAATGAAAATATTAGATTTCAAACCAGCTACTGTAGAATAGGACATTCCTTTGGTGGAGATCAAGCACATACATGAAATGAAGATTCTTCTTATTATCTTGGGAAACCGAATGTATACAAATATATAGACTACAACAGACGGTACATATCTTAATTAATCTACGGTTCTGATTGAACTGTCCTTTCTTGAACTGGATTGATCTTTAGATATTTGTAAGAGGATGTTCCCTAGTATATACTTTTTGCTGACGATATTTTTTTGTTGATGAAACTAAAGAGGGAGTTGATAGTAAACTTGAATTTTGGAGCTCAACCTTAGAGTCTAAAGGTTTTCGTTTGAGTATATCTAAAACCGAATACATTGAGTGTAATTTTAGTAGTAATAGATCTAGTGGGGGTTTGTGACTTTGAGCGATCAAGTATTCAAGTTATTAATAAGAGTACACGTTTTAGATATATTTAGTTTATTGTTCAGAGTGATGGTTAAATAGATGGAGATATTATTAGTAGAATTCAAGTTGGATGGTTGAAGTGGAGGAGTGCATCGGGCTTGTTGTGTGATAGAAATGTACCACTCAAACTTAATGGAAAATTCCGTAGATGGTGGTTAGACCTGCAATGCTTTATGACACATAATGTTGGACATTAAAAGAGAAATATTAACTTAAGTGTTGCAGAGATGAGTATTCTCAGGTGGATGAGTGGCTTTGCTCTTAGAGACATGATACAAAACAAGCATATACGTGAAAAAGTTGTAGTAGCTCCCATGGCAAATAAAATTAGAGAGAGTTGCCTTAGATGGTTTGGTCACATAAAACGGCGGCCTTCCGATGACCCGGTTGGGAGAGTAGATGTTTTAGATTTGACCTATGTTAAGAAAGGTAGAGGTAGACTTCAAAAGACTTGGTTAGAAAATATTAGAAGTGACCTTTCTTTATTAGATCTAAATAAGAATTTGACTCTTAACAGGACATAATGAAGAAAAAAGATTCATGTAGCCGACCCCACGTAGTGGATAAAGGCTTGATGTTGCTGTTATTGCTGTATAGATTGTACAATTTGCCGGAAAACATTTTCCTGGGGTAAGCTGTTAGTTTTTCGGTTTTTATAGGAATGGCTTCTATGCTGCTTTTAACTAATAGCTAAGTCTCCAACAATCAAGGAATTAGGAATACTATTCCATTTTTCCATTTTCTGGAAACTCCACCACCCCAATGTTATATTTTTGCTTAAATAGATGTTTTATTCACAAGTCTAACATATGTTTCTACTATTTCAGGGGCTAATGAGGGTCTTTATGCTTGGATTGCTGCTAATTATGCTCTTGGTACTCTAGGGAAAGCAGCTCAGGAAACCATTGGGATAGTTGAACTTGGCGGTGCTTCTGCTCAGGTTCCATTTTTTTTTTTCTTCTTTTTGACAGTTTGCAATTGACCTAAAGGTTGCTCTTTCATCTCCCTGTAAAGAAATAATAATGAAACCCTAATTTTCTTTCCAAAGCTTGCTACAAGACTTGTGTCTAGATGGTGAGGCTTAGACAAATGCTGATAGGGTTGTCATTTTATTTGGAGAACTGCTTTATCATTTTTATTACCATAATTTGATGTTATTTTTCCGGGCTATGTCTACTTATCTAATACGTGGAAAATCTTAATTAATTTTTTCAATTTCTTTTGATTTATATTTTTGCACATTTTCTTTGAAGAATAAAACGGTTTTCAATAAAATAGGCTTGAAATTTTCATATACTAGCTCAACTTATTTACAACAGTTTGTAAAGTCAAATATTAATGCTTAAATGTTCCGTATTTTTTGAAAAACATCATTGAATTTTGACGAAGATTATAGCTATCTGGTTAATTTTGCATGTTAATCTTTTTCAATGTGTTATCTAAAAATATTGCAACCATGAATGTTCTATTTCTCAACATAGGATTTGATCCCCTGTAGCACCCGTCAATTTAGTTGTTCTCAGTTATATTACCTGTTAAATTTATATTAACTGTAGAATGTTAAAATAATTAGAGTTTGTGATTATATTTAGTAATTAGATCCATTTTTATGTTATCAGATCACATTTGTTCCTAGTGAACCGATGCCTGCAGAGTTCTCTCTTGTGATTAAATTTGGACAGTTCACATATAATCTCTACAGCCACAGCTTTCTTCATCTTGGTCAGGTGACTTGTCCCTTATGCTGGTTTTATTCTTTATTTTCTGCCGTTAATGGGTGTATAAACCTTAATTTCTGTTCTAGACTTAAATTAATATTTAAACAAGTTTACTTGATTTTACCATTTCTTGTTAGATCCACGGCCTTCAGAACCCAAGACTACCCAAGACTTTATTGTTCTAAAGGTTTTATCTACAGTTTTAAAGTTGGAAAACAGGTCTCATCTCATATTATGATTCTTTCTGTTCAAGCTTGAAGCTTAAATTGACATCTGCACTTTTGAATATATATTGAGGTTTGTTTTTGCTCATGCAAGAATAAGCATGGCGTGTCCTTAAATCCTGCCATAATGAATGACACAAAAGAAATGAAAAATTCTATTGTTGACAAGAGTTTTCTTCCCCGGTCTCTGGATGAGATAAGATGAAATTCATCGAGACAACTGGAAAGCAAGACAAGGAAATAAATGAAGAATAGGATGCCAGTTTGATACCATTTTGTTTTTTGATTTTATTTTCAAAGCTCTTTTTTCCTTTTACCAAACCTTCACTATCACATTGTTACTCATACCAGTTATCTAAGATCTTGTCAGAGGAGCACTGAAACAAGCTAGGGAAAAAAATTGCTATGCAATCAAACTTATCTCAAAAACTATTTGCCTTTACGATCACATTTGCGGTCATAAAAGTAATGGAGGCTTGATAGTGTCTTGGTGCAATTACTCACTTAGAAGTATGACTAGGCAAATAAAGTTTGTAAATATTTGGTCTTAGCATTCTAATAATAGTCTGATAAAGTATTGAGACTATGGAGGGCAGTTTCTAATGGTATGAAGTTATTTCTCGGGGTATGAAGCAAAAGTATGCCAACTAGAGATTCAAAACATAATTTGCTATCGAACAAGAACTATATTGCCTGTAAGTAGAAAAATTTGGTAGTGAAGTGAAAGGATACATGATGTTATAAAGGAAAAGATATTTGCGTTTAATGAGTGACAAAAAAATGCTTGAGACTTAAAATGAATATGGGGTTAGAAGTCTCTGCATAGAGTGCAATGATTAAAACAAAATTTATAATTTGTTGAGTTTTTCAAATCAAGTCCATTAGCTTTGTTTAAATCTATTATTGGTCTTCTTGTAGACATAAGTGGTTCTCCCCTAAGCAACATGCCCAGGTGATTGCTCCATATAAATTATCTCATTAAGATCACCAAATGGTAAGACATTATTCACTTTCATTTGTAATAGAGACCACCCTTGATTTATTGGGTACATATAAAAAAATTCAAATGAAGTTAAGCTTAGAAACTAGGGAGAGTACTTCAAAATAATTTATCCCATAAACCTATGTGAACCCTTGGGCACCTAGTCGAACTTTGCATTGATAGATGAAATTTTACCGTGAACATCCATTGGCATATAATTAGTTTAATCCTTGAAGGAGGAACAACCAAATTCTTTATATGATGATTGAGTAGAGCACTCATCTTAGCATCCATAGCTTATTTTCATTAAGGATTTTGCAGTGCTTCCTTAATCTTCAAGGGTATATATATATATAGATGATTAGGAGATGACAAATATGCGAAAGGAAAAAGATAAATGACCAAAGGATATATAAAAGTAAATGGTATGAGCAATTATTATCTTTTACTTTTTTGTATGACAATTGATAAATGTAAATTAGGATTTTGTTAGTAGGAATCAGACAATGTGGATGGAGGTATTATAGTAGGTAGTTGTGTGCATTATTAGTAAACACTTGGAGAGGTATATATAAGTGAACTTTTAGAGGAAGAGGAATAGCTAGTGAAGGTATTGAAGAGGAGGAATAAAAAAATTAGTGATTTTATGAAAACATCTATCGCAGTGTATAAGCATCGGGTAAGGAGTTCATAGCATCTATATCTTTTCTGAGACTAAAGTTCCCATGATTCATGCATTGAATGGATCAAGGAGAAAGCTTATCTTACATGCAAATTCATGAACAATGCATACGGAAGCAAACATATTCTTTTTAAAAAGGAATGCAATCTAAATGTGAAAGAGTCGAGAAGGGTGGAATATTATTGATGGGAGTGGAATGGAGATGAATGAAAAGGTAATAGGTTGTCAAGATTGCATCGCATCATAATTAATGAGGAATATTCATCTAAAATATTATTTTCATGGCATTATTAAGCAGGTGATAGTCTTATGTTCTGAAACATTTTTTAAGATGTATAAGAACAAGAGTCCTCTTTGGTTTGGAACGACGAATGAAGGTGACAAGACCATATTGGTTTTTTGTTTAGCTTATGATTTTTTAATTGCTATTACCTTATTTAAGAAAAAGAATGAGCATCTCATCACTTATAAAAATGGATATAATACAACCCAGATTGACTATTTTCTTATTAGAAAATTAAATCGTTTAGATTGCAAAGATTGTAAAGTTATTCCGAGTGAAAATTTATGTACCCAACATCGATTATTAGTTTTGGACTTTAAGATAAAAGGGTATAAAATAAAAAATAAAGTAAAACAATTTTCTAGGATTAAATGGGGGCATTTAAAAAATATTAACAAAAATATTTTTGAAAATAAGATTTTAGATCTTAAGATTTTGTCT